CATTGTGAGCTATCTCATCAAACACACTCATCTGATGCCAACTAGGGGCCTCCAAATCATCCAGGCCTGGGGTATTTTCCAGTGAACTCTGATACAGTGGCTCCTGTTTTCCCGCAAATAAGAGCAAACAATAAACATGAAAGATGGTATTTTAAAAACTCTGTATTCAATTATTCACACCAAAGGATATCCATTAAAATTATGAACATTTCTAAATATATTTCATGTATCATACATATATATACTTTATATGTATAATTACATATCAACAAGAGATTTCTTGCTGCCCAAAGCATGTAAGAAAAACAATGGCAGGCTGGGCCTGGACGCCTGTCTATGCATATATACTTGCTGCTGGAATGATGCATTTATTTACAACTTGTTGGGTAGGTTATAATAAATGAGTACTGCTCTATTATACAAACATAACAGGAAAGGTTTTTGTAAAATACAAAGACTGCAAATGAATACATGAAAAATTACACACATGTACATTATTTATAGTTTATAAATGCAAAGTTAAGACCTTTAAGTTATTGCACTTGCGCATTATACAAAGAGTTTTGATGTCATACATATAAAACCAGTTTTGGGAATTTATTCTCTCTCTGATCAACTACAATGAAGTTGGAGTTGGACACTGTTAACGTAAAAGTCTTTCCCCTTCTAAAAGAGCGCTTTGGCTGCAGACCGGTGGCTGAGTCCTGACTTCCACAGCACAGACCCTGTGTTGCAGTCTTGCAGGTTTCATTTGGCAAGGAGGTCATCACCAGCAAACTCCTAGATGCCTTGGTCCGTGCCCCTGTAGGGAAAGCCGCCTCTTCTCAGAAGGAAGCAGGATTCTGTCCTTTGTACAGATTTTGGTAAGTGTTTCACAGTGTTTTGGGCAAGCACAGAACTTCAGAAAGGCGGGGAAGTCATAGAGAAATGTCACCTATGGATAAATCTATTTTGCTTTCGGTTGTGCACTAAATGAACATGTGGTATACACATCATACAATAAATCATATGGAAAATAACCCTAACCCACATCACTGACATCGGTCATTCATGGAATACCACAGGACTGGGTATTAGGGGATTAAGTTACAAACCAGTGGTGGCAATGCCCGTGACTGGGTGATATTTTGGATGAGATAATACAGTTTTAAAACTTAATTTACATTAGGAATAAAAATGTGTCACGTTTCTGTAAACACACAGTACCGCATAATTACTAGCTGCACATTCAACATACACAGCAATTTCTGCACTGGGCTCTAGACTCGGCCTTAAGCTTGTATCTTGGTCCTTGGGCGACGACTGTGCTGTGCTCCAAAAGCAGAGTCAGGCATGGGCCTGCAGGCAACAGGCAGGGCCTCTCACACTTGGGAAAGGCAGCCGACGCTGTCCAGCCTTCAATTCAGGGTTGTGGCACTTCTTTGGATTTGAAATGCATTTTCCTTGGGGAACAAATGTCTTTGTCTTTGTTCCACTTTTCTAACTTGGAACACGAATACCACTGAACTTCTTTCATTCTATGTTTATCATTACACAAAAATGCATCTAATGCTTCAGGCAATCAAACTATCCAGGATTTTTTTAAATAACCATCACCAAAAAAAAAAAAGACAACAAAAAAATGCACGTACTGCATTGGGTAGCACTAATTTAAACTTAGTATAAATGTTTAAAGAAGTCAGCAAAATGTGTATCCTGATAAATTCTTACACACATGTGAAAGTATAACCACCATGCGCTGACAAGCATAGGAAACAATGGCCACAGGGTATATGCAGCTAACTTCAAGTTTACAGTGGTGTTTAAGTCAGACTATTACTAGCAATAGAAGGAGCCCACTAAAGCAACTTAAATGAATATAGTCTTTAAACAGTTACACCCTAACTGAAATCAGCAAAGTGTAGAAAGCAAACACAGATTTGAATATCTACCTAAAGAAAGAAGTAATTTTCAAAATCGTTATCATGCTCATGTACCTGAAACGCAACCAAACCACGCCATTGCCATCTGTGCCACAGTTTGTGGAAAAGACAATCTACTGACTCCTTGGTTGGCCGTAGTGTCATCAAACAAAGAACAGGAGTAAGAGGAGGCGGGGACAGCCCTGGTTCCTTAACTAGCCGCCAGCCATGTGCTCCTTGCGATGCTTTCCACGGTATTTAAGCAAGAAGAGCGAAAACTATGAATAAGAGTGAAGTCAGACTTCAGATTTTAAAATAAAGGCACAGGCCAAGGCATGGCAAATAATTTAGTTCTATTAAAGCTCAAACCTTAATTTTGAGTTAAAAGATGAGAAACACAATACCCCAAAAGCCAAACTTAGGAAACAAACAAACAAGGAAAGACCCCAGGTACCTAAGGTTTTATGTATCTGTGTGCCCTGAACAAGTGTATCTGGTGCACACAGACGCACCAACACAGCCAATTCACTGAGATTGTACCAAAAAAAAGTTAAAGCATGCAAAAAAGAGGAAACCTACACCGAACCTGTCTTTCTCTGTCTTAATCTGCTGTTACTATTGGAAGAGTCATGGGGAACCCCTCCTGTAGCCCCAAAGAGGAGCCAGGCGTGGGGACGGGGTGGCCAGGCTTTCCGCTGGGTCTCTTTCCCTCACATAGAGATGAGAAATATACCGCAGCCCTGCCCTCATCAAAGGAACCATTTAAAAACAGTTGTCACATTACTAATTAATTCAGTTAACTACTGATTCATGCGATTCCTCCATTTTTTTTTTAGGATTGCATCCTCTGCCCGAGTTCCAAATTTCATGTTGTTGTTGGCACCATTTATGTTTCCAAGAGCATTCTAGCTAAAAATGCATTTGCTGTATTGGGCAAGATAATGGATGAAATGCCTGTACCTATAGATCTTGTCTATGATAAATGAACATGAACAATACAATGTCTGCGAAGTGGGGCTGTATGCATACTCACAGCTAGTCATCAAGTTGACATGCACAGGGAAGATTTAACCTAGTGTGAAATGTCACCTTAGTGGGAAATTCATCAAAACCTGGGTAATAAAAACAAACTAGCCTCTGGTATAGCACTGTCCTTTTAAGACAAAACCTAAGAAAAAAGATGAGACAGAATGCATTTGTCTGCTGAATATTTTCCAGAATACAAAAATATCTATATGACTGCATGTTTTCCAAAACAAATTGTGAACTAAGTATCCCCACATCCTGGGCCTTTTAAGGAAAACCCATGCTCCCTACGTGAATCCTGCACCCGGTAAAAGCACTGAGACTGAAGCATTTTACCCTCGCATCCCGGCCTTTGTTAACTGTGCTTCTATCTTGATATAGTTCACAAGAAACCACCCAACCGGTAGAGCCACACACACTTTCAGGAAAGAGCTCAGCGATCGTACACAACAATATGCTTTGGGACAAAAGTTACGTCACATTCTTGTCAGAACGGCAGCCTTTAGTGCAGAGCTGGCGGTTCCGCTCCCACGACTGCTTTCTACTCCATGAAAATCATATTGATGAAACAGTCTTTAAAAATACCCCCCACCCCTCCTATGATTCAGCTTCCAGGTTAAATTAGCAGACGGAGTTAACTTTCATGATTGATAGAAGCTATGTTTGGTGCATTTTTGCAAGGAAAATATTAAAATTTTCCGAATTCAATCCTAGGGACACAGGGGCGAGCGACACGGTGAGACGTGGTCCGCCCGGCCCAGGAACCAATAGGCTCAGGGAATGGGCGGGATGTTTATCTTTTATGTATGCTTAATTCTCCCTCCTGTCTCATCTTGTATCATATATATACATACATGTGTGTCTACATACATATGAGGGTACATCCTATATACATGTGTCTACATACATTACATACATACATGTGTGCGGGTCTAGGGCAGTGGTGTTCTCTCTTCACCTCCTGTGACTGAACAGCAAATGCAGCTCCTCGGCGGCATGGCGGCAACTTTAGTTGAAATTGAACACATGGTGTTAATCTAAAATAACAATCAGGTTCCGGGGTAGCCAACTCTGCTACCACATAAATAAGCTGGGCCTGACTCCGGTCTGAGAACCAAAGCCACGTGAACCTTGCGAACGGCTGAGTGTGTGCGACGTGCTGAAGAATCACTTAAAATAATGCTGCCTGCTCCTGCTGGACGCTAGCGGTGAGCCGTGCGCCCGGCACACTCTGTGCGGGAGGCGGCAGGAGGCGGCAGCAGTGTCTTGCACACAGGAACGTTCCGTGGTAGCATTAGGGATGGGGTCTGGCCCGGGGCAGGGTGGACAGCGACACGGACACTGGTGGCCCTGCAGTCTCCCTCCAACCACTCCGCAGGCCTGTGACACACGGCTGAGCCAGGAGGAGAGTCAGATGACAACAAGCCGAGCGTCCAGAGTGAGGCTAGAGGACTACGACTTTCGCTCGCTACCATTCGATTGTACGGGGAACACGTGGCGTTCGGGGCTTTCTGCACAAGAGCGTGAGACATTGCTGTGACAGAGGGGACACAAAGGAATTCCTGCTCCAACGTCACCCTTCCTGGCCACAAAATGGGCTGGGGGAGGGGGGCTCCTGAGCCTGGGGTCGAGTTCTGTGTGAGGCAGGAGAGGCCACAGCCAAGACAGCAAATGGCGGGCGCTCCGCCGCTGCACAGGGCTCCAGCTTCATCTCCAGAGGCCGGGATCCCCGTGCCCGACGTGAACCCCAAGAACCAGTCCTGCTGTGCCTGGCATACCGAGGCTGTGGGACTGACGGATGGACAGATGGACGGACGGACACACGCCCTCCGTGGGCTCAGCTCCACGCAGGGTCCGGGTGGCCCGGTTTATAACCAGCGCCATTGTGGCCACTGTGGCCACACGCCGGCCTCGGGGACGCTGGCCGGGGGACTGGGCGCTGGGGGGGGGGTTGCTGGGTAAGGGGGTCACTGCAATGAGGGGGTCTCTGGGTGGAGGGGTGGCTGGGTCGCGGTCTCTGGGCCAGGGGTCGCTGGGCGGGGGTCTCAGTCAGAGGTCACTGGGTGAGAGGGGTCACTGGATCAGGGTCTCTGGGTCGGGGTCACTGAGGGGGGTCACTGGAGGGGTCTCTGGGTCGGGGGTCGCTGGGCGGGGGGTCGCTGGGTCGGGGTCACGGGGGGGCACTGGGTCAGGGTCGCTGGGGGAGTCACTGGAGGATCATTGGGTCAGGGCCTCTGGGTCGGGGTCTCTGGGGGGTCTCTGGGTCAGGGGGTCTCTGGGTCAGGGTCTCTGGGTTGGGGTCACTGGGTTGGGGGGTCACTGGGGGGCACTGGGTCTGGCTGGCCACCAACAGGCCGGGCGGCATCAAGGCTCCACAGGCAGAGTCTGAGCCCTGGTTGCAGGTGGGTCGCAGGTGTGGATAAAGTCAGGAAGCGCGGGGCGGCGGGGCAGCCGGGGGGG